CGATCACAGCCCGGCCGGCCCCTCGCTCCCCCCAGCGGGGACTTCCTGCTTTCAGGGCCCGCCGCTCCGCCCAAGCCCCGTCCGCCACAGGCCGCCCGCGTCTCTGCCCCCCCCCCCTCTGGGGACGGTTGATGGTGAAAAAATAGCGAACAAGTCCCAGGGAGCCCCCAAGGGCGGGCAGACAGCCGAGGGGCCACCTGCGCAGATTGAAGCACCCCCATACTGTACACGAGGAGCGATGCCTGGCGGCCGCCGCCGTCGCCCGCGCCTTGCACCTGGGCCCACCCCCGGGGGGCCAACACCTGCGCGCGCACGCGCGGTCCCCCTGCGGGCGCGGCGCATCCTGTGCCCATGCACTCAGGCGACACTGGGGGGGGGGGGAACCGCCCCTCGGGGAACACCAGTCCTCCCTCCGGCGGAGGGGGGCCGGGGCGGGGCACAGGCCCGGCCGGTGCGAACGTCGAAAAGCCCGAAAAGAGCGCCCCAATAGCCTTTCTCACCGAAAATACAGGGATAAAAGATAACCTGAATATATTTTATGGTTGCTATTTTGTCTGTCGAAATTGGCTTCTCCTCTCGCTCAAATTCGGCCGAGGCGGCTTGGCACATTTTGCCTCTGCCGATGATCAGGCCGTGTTTTGGTACCTGCTCACGTGCGAATATCACACTGGCGATGCTCTGCTAGAGGCCGTCCAGCAACCGGAGGATGCACACCCGCCCTGGAAAGGCCGAGGGCTTTGTGGCAGCCCAGCCAGGCATTCGCGGACAGCGGAGCCGATGAAAACCGGGCCAGCTCGGGTTGCAGCCGCATATGCTTTGGCCAGCTCGTTGCGATGGAGGGCAGGCGTGGGGGTGGCTGGAGCAGGTCGGAGAATCGAAGCCATGAGCAGCCGCCCACTGTGGCCCCATTTGAATTTCCGGAGCTCTTGGAACCACTGCGCCCGAAAAAATGAAATGCCCCCACCCCCTCGCCGGGGCCCGGAAGGGGGGAGGCCGGTGTATGTCGGTATTGACCCGGCCTCTGGCGGTGGGTTGTTCCCTCCCCCCTCTCTCGCAAGATAGGGGGGGGGGGGGAAGACCCTGGACCACTTCGCGTGCAGGACGGGCGAGGAGCATTCGTCGGCCGTTCGTTTTTCGGATGACCGTCCTCCCCCCCCGCCCCCCGCCGCATGCAGGGGCGCCCCGCAGAGGTGATGCGAACGACGTGCTCGGCCACTTGAAGTGCCCCTCCCTGCAGCCCCGCTCCGATCGGGCAAGCGTATCGCCGCATCCTCCTCCCTCCCCCCGCGCCTGCCACCCCTCGTCCCCTCCTGCCCCTTCCTCTTTCCTGTCCCCTCGCCGCCTGGACCCTCGCCAGTTCGTTCCCCCCCCCCCCCCCCTCCCCCTCCTCTCGCCCGCCCATTCCTGCGCCACCCCGAGTTAATTGCCGTCTCGCTGACCTGCGCCCCTTCCTCCCTTACCGTGCCCTTTACCACAGTGTCGGACTCGACCCATCCCCATCCCGGTGCTCCGGGTACCAAGGCCGAGGATTTCCCCACGCCGATGGATGAGGCCTATGCGCGGCTCCTGTCCGACAATGCCGAGCTGGAGCGCCGCTTCTCCGAGGTCATCACGCTGCTCCAGTCGCGCGAGAGCCACATTTCCCAACTCCAGGCGCTGCTCAGCTCCGAAACCCAGCGGGCGGACGCTGCCGAGGCCCGCCTCCTGGAGCTAACCACCGGCCGGGACTCGCTGCTCGCCTCCTCGGCGGCGACCACGGCGGCAGCCTACTCCTCGGCCGGTAGCTTGGCCACCGATGAGGCGCTCGGTGCGTTGTCTAGGCTTCCCCGGCCCCCCCCCCCCCATCGCCGGGATGGCAGGGATCCCCTCTTTGCAGGACTGCTCTAACCTCCCCCCCCCCCCCCCCCCCCCCCCCCCCCCCGGACGGCGGGCCCCCCCCTTTTCCCCCCCCCTCCCACCCCCCCCCCCCCCCCCCCCCCCCCTCGTTCCCATCCTCCTGTCCCTCTCTCGCGGCCTGGCGCCCTGCGCTTCCTTGGCTGTCCGCCCCTTTCCCCTAGATGCGGAGCTCGCCACTGCGGCGCAGCTTGACCAGCAGATCAGTGTACGCTCGCATGAAAAGGACTCCCACCCGTGTTGGTTCCGTTTGACCCCCTGGCTGACATCTCCCCCCCCCCCTCCCCCTCTCTCTCCCCTGCCGGATCGTAGGCTCGTATTGCCACCCTCAAGCAGAACGCCGAGCGTCGCCAGGTGTGGATGCGGTCAATGGTGACGCGCCTGAGCGCCGAGGTGAACAAGATCGAGAATTGCCAGCGCATCATTGCTGGCAACACCGAGAGCCTGCGTCGGGAGCCGGCGAACTCCTCGGCCGTGGCTTTCGGGGGGACCGCCAGCTCGTCGGGCACTGCCGCGCCCGTGCCGCAGCCGACCAGCTCGCTGATCATTTAGGCCCCCCCCGCCCCCCCTCACACCTGGCGTTTGTTCCTCTCCCCCTCCCCCCCTGGTTCCTGGGGGTCTTCACATTCTTCCCTCCCCTGCCGATCACCGAAAAAGTTCATCCAATCGACCTCTGCTCTTCTGTGTGTGTTTGTCCCCCCCCCCTCTCTTTCTCTTTCCCCCAGGAGGAACTAGAAGAATGGGCTATATTATTGTACAAGGCTGGCTGGGGAGGAGCTCCCCCTCACACCCATAACCTCATATGCTCACCCTCCTTTCCTGAGGGGAAGAAGACGACGCGCGCGTGCGCGCGAGGAGCACATCCTGGCGTGAGGCGTAGGAGAGGGCACTCCAGCCTGAGGGCGGGCGCGGGCAGGGTGCTGCATGTCAGCATGGCAGGGCCAGACGGGTGGCGGAGGCATTGCGCGTTCGGATAGGCGTGTATGGGGCATGGGTCGTCGCACACGCACCGACTCATTTGACAAGAGGCACATGCGCACTCGAGGAGGAAGGGGGGGGGGGGCGAGGCGAGCGGGTGCTTGGCCATGGCTGCCTTCTAGATGTGTGTATGTGCGTGTGTGTATGCGTGGCATCGCGCTGGTCTCCCATGCTTTCACGTGTCGTGTGTGTGTGTGAGAGAGAGAGCAGGCGGGAGGGGCTCGGGCGACTTTGAGGAGGGGGATGGAGGTGAGAGCGGACTCCGCCATCACCCCCGCCCCCCTCCCCACATGTTCTCAAACATGGACGGCCGGTCCCCACCGCGAGGGCCAAGTGGCAGGGAGGAGGCGGCGACGATGGTCCACCGGCAAGCACTCACTTACTGGGCGAGGCGCTGCTGGGCGAGGGCGCGCTGCTGGGCATCAAAAGCGGCCCAGGTCTGGCGCTTGGGGACGACGTGCATCTGCCACCAGGCACCGGCAACCAGGAAGGAGGCAGCCAGGGACAGGGGGATGTGCAGCTTGAAGAGGCGAATGCAGCGACCGGGAGTAGTGGGGATGGCCATGGTGACGAAGAGATGTGGACACTTCTCTCGTAGGCGGGGGGTTAGCTGGGTGCGGCGGCGCGACGACGCGATGGTGTGTGTGGGGCGGGGGGGGGGGGGGGAGGGCTTTGACAGATGGCCGCAATATTGCGTAGGCAGGGCGAGGTGGGGCGATGCGAGATGGTGTGTCTGGATGTGTGTGGGGGGAGGCGGGAGACGGAAGGCGGAAGGCGGAGGACGGGAGGAGGCGGAGGCAGATGGAGGACAGGAGGCGGAGGCAGATGGAAGGCGGGAGGTGGAGGGGAGAGGAAGGGGAGGCATACAGGAAGAAGAACAGAAACAGGAGGTTAATGCTATTCTCGTTGGAGGGGGCGGCAGGCCGGGACAGAGGCGCCCTGGGAGCCGAAAAAGAGGGCGCCCGGGAGGCGAACGTGTCTCCCCGTTCGACTCGCCAGAAAAGCACGTACAGTCCCGCTCCCTGTTGCACCC